AATGACACGTGCCTACAGGAGCAAGAATGGCAGTGAGGTTATGTTCACTCTATAGTGACCTTGGTGATTGTGTGTTAGACAATTAGACCACCAGTTCACGCAAATTGTTGCAACAGCAAAAAGTTCAACGAGAGCTCAGCTGGGACTAAGTAATAATCTATATCAAAGAATCGCAGCTGCAAAACAACATGTGCTGCATATATACGGTCCATGCACAAATGCGGCGCAAAGCTGTGCTTACTGTAATAATAGCTCCAAACGGTAAAATTTTGTGCCCAGATCAATAACAAAATGAAAACAAAACGGAGAGCTGACCGTGTACTAGCTAGAAGTATATAATAATATATATCATTAACGATTCACGCGATCGAATCATTCGACCTGCATCTATACGATGCGTGAATGATATGATTCCTGTATGCCGTGATCGAATGATTCGATGCGTTGAATTCGATTTGATGCTAATCGAAATACAATTCGATTTCACTGGGCGCATCGAACTCATTCGATATCGACGCCATGCGAATCAATTCGAATGCACTCATTCGAATGCGTGAATCGAATGATTCGATGCGTGGGGAATCGAATGACTTCGATGGCGTGAATCGAATGACTATGGTCGACTGCGGGTGGAATCGAATGATTCGATATGCAGGGGTCAGTGTCGATTCACGTCAATACAGAATAACATTCGATTCAACGCACTCGACATGATGCATTTGTCGTAATGAAATTCAACAGATGTGCGTGATATCGAATGAGTTCGATGCGTGACATCGAATGATTCGAATGCGTGGAAGATCGAATGATTCGCCATGCGTGAATCGAATGATTCGATGCCGTGAATGCGAATTGATGCATCGAATCAATATCGATTCGCGCATCGAAACATTCGATTCAACAGCATCGGATCATTCGGATTCACGCATCCGAAATATCAATTCGATTCAGCATCGAAACATATCGATGGCGATCATTCGAATTGCGTCGATCGAATGATTCGATGCGCGAATCGAATGATTCGATGCAGGGTCATTCAATTCCACGCATCGAATCATTCGATCACGCAGTCGAACTCATTCGAGAGTTCACGCATCGAATACATTCGATCACGCATCGAATGATGCATCGGAATGATTCGATGCGTGATCGAATGATTCGAAGGCGTGAATCAGAATGATTCGATGCGTGACATCGAACTGCATTCGATGCGCGAATTCGAATGATTCGATGACGATTCGACGCATCCGAATCAATTCGATTCACAGCATCGAAATCAATTCGATCAGCATCGAATCATTCGATGCAGCGTCATTCGATGCGTGAATCAGAGAGTGGATTCGATGCGGGCGAATCTCGAATGATTCGATGCATCATTCGATTCACAGCTCCGAATCATTCGATTCACGCATCGAATCATTCGACTTCACGGCATCGAATCAATGGGGTCGATTCGCAGCATCGATCATTCGACTTCGACGCATCCGAATGATGCACTTACGAATGATCTCGATGCGTGAATCAGAATGATTCGACATGCGTGAAAATCAAATAATATCGATAAATCGAATGTTTATATGTGATAAAGTCGAATGTTTAGTGTGATAAATCGATATGTTATATGGCGATTAGCAAATCAACCATAAAAACAAAATCGAATTATGACACAAACAAACATGTCATACAAAACCACTGCCTATGGTAAGTGGTCGAAAAAAAAGTTCAATTATACTACTCCTGCTTTTACTGCTGCTGCTGCTACTGCTGCATACTTGCTGCTGCTGTTGCTGCTAACTACTACTATGCTTGCTGCTGGCTCCGGCAAACTGCTACTGCTAGCTACTGCTACTGCTACTTGCTCTGCTCCTGCTACTGCTATAGACTGCAGCTGCTACTGTACTCGCTAGTGCTTACTGCTACTTGCTACTTGCTACTGCTACTGCTACTGCTGGTGTGCTACTGCTACTGCTGCTACTTGCTCGCTCACTGCTGGCCTACTACTGCTACTGCTGCTGTAGATGCTGATGATACTGCTACTACTACTAATACTAATAAAGATGTTACTGCAGCTTCTGTTGTCATTACTATATGATATGAAAGTTACAGTCACATCTCTATAGGTTCTACGCAGCCTTTTCCCCCCGTTAGCGCGTTGACTGACTCGATCTAGAATAGGACGCATTGTGCTTGCTGTCAGGGCGCTGGCCACGTACATGCAGATGGACTCGACACCATGGCGACCGCTGCACATCCCCGGACACTGCGGCCCGTACGTATGAAGTTACGCACCGACCCACTCATCACCAAGAAGGCACGCTGTGTCTGATGCAGTCCGCAGCTCGTCGAAGCTTTGAACCTGGAGGCGGACAGGGTAAAAACAAAGTGAACGCCGTAATGGGGTTATTATGCAATGTAGATCTTTAAAAAGCGTTTTTATTCTTCGTTCACGTTGGATTCAGTCCACGGGGAGTGTGATAAATTATGAGGCTCTTTATATATCTTGTATTTTTATTCATTTTTTAAAGATATTTATCTATAAATCTATCTGTATGTTTACTTAGTTTTTTTAATGCTGTAACGATCACTAGGTCACCAATGGTGTGGCGGCGGCAGGTAGCTAAGGTGACACCAAGTTTCCAGTTGGCGAACTCTGAACGCAGGTAATCTTTCCCGACCATACACTGTACCCAATTGAGGCATGCTGGAAAACACTTCTCACTCCACTAGTGCCATGTTCTGCGCTAAAAAAAAACAACAAGAGGTGGAGTTTAATATCTGGCTCCTCAATAACTCTATACTGTGGAATTGTCTACTTCTTACATCTGACTATTAGCTTGCTGTTAGTTCTGTAGCACCACTGCACGACACAACGCATGTACGACAACGCACCCACACCAGACAAAACACGCACACACGCACAGACGCATGAGTCGTACGCACGCACGCACGCGACGCACGCCACCCCGAAACGGCCACAGACACGCAACGCACTGCACGCACGCACGTCACGCACACAATTGTGCGCAACACGACAGATAACCCACACAGAATAAACACATATTACATTTATTGCTTATTACATACTTATATATACAAGATAACTGTTTCTAAGAAAAAAAAATGCCACAATGCTTCAGTAATCGCACACATAGATCAAGTATTCCGCCCGGGTTCGTTGAGGCGCTGCGGGAGAAACTACCGCGTGACTCAATCGATAGAGTGCGGATCGCAGCAGAATTGGGCGAGAAACGGACATATTTCTATAGTCAGTGTCTGTATAATAATAGTTATAACATAACGAACGACGACCTTGTCGGTGGACGTACTGGAGTTCCAGCGCGCTGATTCACACACTGCCAGGGTAATCAGCGTCCATTACAGACCCATCACCAGCTCAAACTGCAAGCATGTGGCGACGCGCCTATCGGGAGTGGTTTTTCGTCTCACGATTGCGTGGTGGTTTGTCTCGGGCTAGGGTGGGTTCGGCTTCGCGGCCATTGAGGAAACTATTCAACGATGAAATGAGATAATACATTAGTATCTATTTGGAGGAGGAAACATAAATTCAGGGCAAGCGCGGCGTGCGAAGGAATAGCGTATCACAAGCTTATGGAACATTTCATATGAAGTCATTGTAGGTTAAGAACTAACGCTGGAACCGGCGATGTTGCGCTAAGCGGCAGGGCTTAATGAGTGGTGATCATTGGGTTACCGATAGTTCAATACCGCAGCAAAGAGTAGAAGAAGAGATTGACTCATTGAAATTGACATTTAACTTCAATTATTAACAATTCTTACTTTCTACTTACATTATTGGCTTACAAAAATGTCTGTGCGAATAGCAGCAACAGACGATGACTAGACGGCGAAATATTACAGCAGCAACGTTCACAGACGGCAAAATACTAGCAAGCAAAGATATAGCCCCCCCCTATTTTCAGGCAAATCTTTACCATTTTTATAGTCTTTTTTAAGCCTTTTTACCGTTTTCAGCGAGTAAAGTTTAAGAACCCGATCCCGTGTATTTCATTGATCTCTCTGTGAAAATTTGGCGCTCATTTGGATCCGAAACTGACGGAGCCTTTCATTAACATACATACGATAAACATTCGCATCAAATTATAGGTAAGATTACAAGCATGTGTCATTTATTAAGTACAATACAGCAATCCCTGAGCAAGACGTGTGAAATCTACATTATTCCATATTGATGAAACAGAAGCTACTCGACAACTGAAGTACTAACTTACTACATTTTTTCTTCTCTCAGCATTCCGAGCCTCTCGCTACCTCACTTCTTCTCTCTCCACTGCCGTCCCCCCTCTCACCCTACCTTCTCCCACCTTCCCCGCCGTCTCCCCCTACCTTCTCCACCTCCCCGCCGTTCCCCCCTCTCAGCCCTACTTCTCCACCCCACGCCGCTCTCCCCCTCCTCCGCCTACCTTCTCCCACCTCCCCGCCGCTCTCTCCCCTCGCACGCTGATAGCTTCGACTCGATAACCGCAAGTACTGCCGCGGCGGCGTCGCCCTGCCAATTTAACAAGGTCGTCGGCCATCTTGTCTGGCTCAGCTCAGCTCGTGTTCATGGCGTGATCGCATTGAGCAGTTCGTCGGACAGAGTTGGCGGTCAGTCGTAGGCCGGACCACACGCGTCCTCGCCGGATCGGCCGCTATGAGCGGCGCCACCACAGCGGAAGCGACAGCGCGGGACGCCTGCCGCCGCGCACGGCACCAACACGACGACGATGCCTACAGGGCAGATGGCAGTGAGTGCTTAATGATAACCTTTGGTAAATAACACGTGCCCTAGCAGGAGCAAGAATGGCAGCGAGGTTATGATAACCTTGGTATAACACGTGACCTGCAGGAAGCAAGAAATGGCAGCAGGGTTATGATAACCTTAGGTAAGACACGTGCCTACAGTGAGCCATAGAATGGCGCGAGGTTATGATACGCTTGGTAATGACCACGTGCCTACAAGGAGCAAGAATGGCCAGCCGGAGGGTTATGAATAATCTTGGTAATTGACACTGCCTATTCAGGGAGCAAAGAATGGCAGCGAGTTTAGGTTATGATAACCTTGGTAATGACAGTGTACTTGCAAAAGCAGAATGGGCAGTGAGGTTAGGATAACCTTGAGGTAGATGACAAGTGTATGCAAAGCAGAATGGCGAGTGAGGTTAGGATAACCTGGGTAATGACAAAGTGTATGCGAGGGACAAAGAATGGCAGTGAGTTAGAGGATCACCTTGGTAATTTACAAGTGCTACGATGAGCAGAGATATGGCCAGTGAGGTAGTGAGTGTAACCTTGGTAATGAGGCACGTGCCTGACAGGAGCAAGAATGGCAGTCGAGAGCTTACGGCATAAACTTGGGGTAATGAGGGGACACGGCGCTACATGGAGCAATGCAATGGCAAAGCTGGGAGGTTATTAAGCATAAACGCTTGGTAGTGGTAATGACAACGTGGCCTGACAGGAGCAAGAGATGCGTATCGAGAAGGTTATGATATAACCTTGGTAATAACCACGATCCTACAGGAGCAAGAATGGCACGTGAGGTTAGGAGGGTAGACCACTTAGGTAAACTGAAACGTCGTCATGGCAGACCAAAAGAATGAGCAGTGATGGTTATCGATCGAGAGCGCGTTGTACTTTACAAGATAGCCCGTGCAGGTACCAGGGGGAGGCAAGGAAGTGCACGAGGTTATGCAATAACACTTGAGGTAATGACACGCATGCCTCACAGGAGCAAGAATGGCAGTGAGGTTATGTTCCACCTCTATAGGACAGCTTGGTGATCTGTCGTGTTCATGCACCCATTCAGACCACACCAGTTCACGCAAATTGTTGCACACACGCAAAAAGTTCAACCCGGAGCTCAGCTGGGCAGCTAAGTAACCTAGAGGTCTCACCTATCAAGAAGACATCCACGGCAGGCTGCAAACAACATGTGGCTGCATATAGGCAGTCCGGTCATGCACAAATGAATGGCGTCTTAGAAGCTGGATTGCCTTAATGGGTGAGGATATATGGAGGCTCAAGAAAGCGTAAATATTTTGGTGCCACGCCAGCACTGCAATACAAATGCAGGAGAGAGAGACACAACATATTTTATTCGGAGCCACGCTGCCCGTGGGAGCCGCGGTAAAGACTAGAAAGTATATAATAATGATAGGTTATATAGTATATTTATTAAACATAAGTATAACATAATACATAATAATAATAATGATAGCACTATAATATAATAGAATAATATACCTAATACTAACCGTATAGGGCCTATACACACTTCATCGAAGTAGGACGAGTACAACGAGTATCGTGGCAGCACGTCACGCCGGTCTGTGACCATACAAACCTGATAAGTTCCTGAGGAGATGCACAGCCTGAAGCTCTCCATCGCATGGAAATGGAGAGCATATGAACGGTCAGCACGGTCTCAATGGGTGCGAGCGCGCGCAGAGAGTGGCCCTGCAGAACGCCGGCAGGCGACGCCTTAACGACGCTGCGTTGGCTGCCGGAATTAGCCGGATGCCGAACCTGCAAGAATACCTGCAGAGAATGGAACGAATTGGAGCTTATAACATCCTAAGTGTGCAGCGTTTCTCGACACAGGACAACCTATTATTTCTCGAGGCTACCCCTCTATCGCCAGCAGCTAACCTATTTATTTTTCAGTCCCTAAACTCCCTAGGCACATCGCTCTAGTTCCTCAGTCCCTCGCACAACACACCCACATCTTATCTTCTCAATGCCCTCAATCTTAGCCACAAGCGACCCACATCTATTATTATTCAGTACCAGGGCATCAATTCCCGTGCAAGCACGCCCCATCTAATTTCTCGGAGTCCCTCAATCCCCACAGCCGGCGCCGACGATCGGTTGGATTTCTCAGTCCCAGCAATCCCCAGGCGAGCCACACATCAAAATCTTCTCACAGTTCGCCGGTCAATCCCCAAGCAGCCCCGACATCTACTCTTCTCAGATCCCTCAATGCGCACAAGCACCGGTCACAATCTATTTCTGCAGTCCCTGGCTCGAAGTCGCGCACAGCCACGAATGCGTAATTTCTGCGATGCGCCGTGCGAGTCCAAATCGCACGAGCGGTATTTCTTCAGTCCACTCAATCCCAAACAAGCATCTCACATCTATTTCTCAGTACCCTACAAGAACAATCACCCCATAAACCACACTATTTCTCAATTCTCGCCATCAATCCCCAGCCCAAAAAAATTTCTCAGTCCGTCCACACCCCCACATCCACGATGCTAGTGTTCGCAGTCCCGTCAATGCCCCAGCATCCACATCTATTTCCTCAAGGCTGCGCGCTCAATGCACCCCAAGGCATCACATCTATTTCTCAAAGGTCCGCCTCCATCCCGCAGCACCGGTCACCACATTACTAGTTCCTGTCAGTCCCCAAATCTTCTTCTTCAACAGCATCCCACATCTATTTCTCCAGATCCGTCATCGCGCGCAGCAGTGCACGACACCACATCATCTATTTCTCAGTCCCTCAATCCGCAGCATCCACATCCTATTTCTCAGTCCCTCAATCCCGCAGAAGA